AGACCCCAAAACCTAAACCCTAAAACCCAATCTCTAAACCCTAAACCCTAAACCCTAAACCCTAAACCCCTAAACCCTAAACCCTAGACCCCAAACCCTAAACCCTAAAACCCTAAGGCGTCCCGGGTCGACTGAGGCCGACGCCAGTGCTGTGTCCGGGCGAATTGCATCTTCCAGCTCCTTTATTGGGGATCAGGGTTTAGGGTTTAAGGTTTAGGGTCTAGGGTTAAGGGTTTAGGGTTTAAGGTTTAGGGTCTAGGGTTTAGGGTTTAGGGTTTAAGGTTTAGGGCTTGGAGGTTTAGGGTTTCAGGGGTTCGGGTTAGGGTTTAGGGCTTCGAGGTTTAGGGGTTTAGGGCTTAGGGTTTCAAGGTTTAGGGTTTTAGGGGTTTGGGTTTAGGGTTTAGGGTTTAGGGCTTGGGGCTTCGAGGTTTACGGGTTTAGGGTTTGGGCTTAGGGTTTAGAGTTTTAGGGTTTTAGGGGTTAGGGCTTGGAGGTTTAGGGTTTCAGGGGTTAGGGTTTGGGGTTTAGGGTTTGGGGTTTGGGGTTTAGGGTTTAAGGTTTAGGGTTGGCTTACTTAACGGATCGGGGGACTTAGTAAGTAGGATAATCAAAAAAACTTATATCTACTTAGAACTCTAATTAAAGCAAGTACTTACAACCCGGCTTACTAGGTCCCATGATCCTCCAAGTAATGCAGAGGGCTAGATAATTACCAATTTTTTTTGGGGGGGGGGTCCTTATTATAATTATAGTATAATGGGCCCTAAAACCCTATTCCAATGATTAGAGCCCCTAAACCCTAAACCCTTACAGTAGCCCTTATAAACCCCTTTAAAGGAATCCTTTAAAGGAACCCCTTAAAGGAACCCCTATACTAATTATCAAAGCCCCTATAGTGGAGTCCACAAGGCTTCCAAGGTTGGGGCAGAGGGCTCAGAAGGTGCAGGGTTTCGGTTATTGGCAACTGAGGTTTGAAGATTTGGGTTTTGGGTTCATGGTTCAGGGTTCAGGGTTCAGGGTTTAGGGTTTAGGGCTTAGGGTCTAGGTTCTGTTCAAGACTGAATGCTTCGAACTTTGAACAGTAAACTTTCGTCAAGCAAGGGCTCAAAGCAAGCTAATACAAAGCTGTTGCAGGATTTGAAGCCGGGTACGGCAATCGCCGATCGCAGGTTCATGGCCCGGCACGACCCAGGCTAGTCCCTCCGACATTAAATGACCACGTCGAGATTCGGCCACGATAGGAGGCGGCTGCAGCGGCACGTTGCTCTGCTGCCCAGCACTTGCAGTGCTCTGCTGCCCGGCAGTTGCAGGCACAGACCAATGGTGCCGAGGCAATCGTCGCCGGTCGGGCACGGACGTGCACACCAACCGACGACCCAAACCTCGCCGTCGAGCCTCTCCGGCACTCGCATCCCCCTTACGCCGGGGGGTCATGAGGCGTTCTCCGCCGCCGGCATCATGATGGTCGCCTCCCCCCTTTTGGCTCTGTTTCGTCGCTGACAGGTTCCAAAACAGGGTCTGGAATACTGTGGCGTCACGATCTTATCTGCGGGGCAGCTGCCCAAGCTAAGCCTCGCACCCTAACTCACAAACCGCCAGAGGCCCTACTAAACCCAAACTGCCCCGAAAACCCAAAACCCTAAACCTGAAGCCCCGAGTACCTGAGAACCCCCCTGTTTACAGAGCAGCTGCCTCTTTGAAACTTTAAAAATAACTTAAGCCGCAGAACTTAAAGAGTCCAAACCACCACAATAAAGGAAGACGCATTGAGCCATAGATGCATATAGTAAGGGTCCCGTAGAGTTTAGGGTGTATCCCAAAATTGGGATTCCAAAGCTGTGGATGTAGGGTTTAGGTATGTTCCTTAATTCAGGAATTCTGGGGTCTCTGGACCGAAAACCCCTAAACCCGATACCCTAAACCCTAATCCGTAGAGTAGTGGGCCTTCATTGGCTGCAGCTAAAACCATACTCAGACGCCTCCCTTCTTTAAGGGCGTTTTTTGGTGGGGTTAGGGTTTAGGGCTCAAGGATTCAGGGTGTCAGCTTGGAGGCTTCCTTACAAGCGGCGATGCGGGATTGCATGTGAGTTCGGGGCTTCGCGGCTTGCAACGATCGGGCTGACGTGCTTCTGCTAAGCTCGAAAGCAACGATGCATGCAAGGTCCGGATGAGTCACCTGGAATTATTTGGGCTCAGAGCCTTCTTGCTGTTCCGACCTTTTGCGGGTGCCGTCTATACATGTGATGAAGCTGCTCTTGCTGGCACGGTTTAATAAATAATTCGTGTCAGTTCAACCATACCCAGCTTGCTCCAACTAATCTCATAGACTCTACTTGCTTACGGCTTTTCTGCAGGCTTGGTATCACGAAGCCCTTGGACACTTCGAAGACCGTGCGCCTTAAGATTCACAAGCCCGTACTTGTCCACGGGCAGGTATGTCACACTCCTGGCAAGCACGGGTGAAGGACGCCTAAGGACCTAAACCCTACCCCCTATACCCTAGACCCGAAGCGCTATACCCTAAACCCAATGCCCGAAACCCTAAGCTCTATGCCCTAAACCCTAAGCCCTATACCCTGAGCCCTATACATCCCTAATTAAAGCCCGGGACCCCTCGACCCCAATCCTGAGTCTTGGGCCTTACACTTACACTCTCGAAGCAGCGTAGGGTTTAGGGTTTAGGGTTTAGGCTTTAGTAATTAGATTACGGATTTAAGGGTTCCTTGTTATAAGTATAGTAGAATACCCCAAGCCTTATTCTAATTATCCAGGCCCTTATATTATACGGGCTATAATGAGGCTTCATGGCCCAGGGCTTTAAAGAAATTGGGGTTGAGTCATCCGGGGCCCAACTCGAAACCGCAAGCCCTAAAAAACCCCGAACCCTAAACCCCTATAGCTAAACACTCTTAACCCTGAAAGCCCTAAGCCCTAAACCCCTAAACCCTAAGGCCTAAGCACCCCAAACCCCTAAACCCTTGAACACTTAAACCCTAGACACCCCAAACCCTTAAACCCTGAAGCCTGGATCTACATTCAAACCGACAGATCACAACCCCTCCGGGATTGCAGAAAGGCAAAGATGTCACTGATCCCCTGTAAAGGGTTTTGGGGGTAGGGTTTAGGGTTTACGGTTTAGGGTTTGAGGGTTTAGGGTTTTAGGGTGTAGGCTTTAATGTACAGGTTAGGGTTCAGGGATTTTGAGATTTGGGTTGGGGAAGAGCATCGCGGGCTGCGCTGACAAGACGGATGCAAATCTTCGGGATCTCGACCTTATGACGACTGGTGTTTCTGACCTTTGGGGTAGATGATGGTACATTCGTAAGAAGGAGCCCCGAGGCATCATACTGGTAGCTGTACCCCAGAGCCTGCAGAGAAGAAAGAGAGAGAGAGAGAGAGAGAGAGAGAGACAAACAGATCGACAGAGTCTATCTATGTGTGCAGTTCTCAAAATTATATATTTGAGATCTAAACACGACCCCAAACTTCGAGAACTACCTCGGGCTTCCTGTTTAGGGCAGGTTTCGGGTGCTCTAAACCCTAAACCCTAAACCCTAAACCCTGCTCCCGAACATCTCCGCCCTGGCCCTCCGGCTTGAAGCTGACTGGAGACTACAGAGGGTTCTTTGGGGTTTAGGGTTTAGGGTTTAGGCTTTAGGGTTTAGGGTTCAGGGTTCAGGGTTCAGTGTTCAAGGCTTTTCGGCAAGCGATGCATGGGACTTTCGCCGCGTCGTGCTAGATTAGGGTTTGGGTGTAGGGTTTAGGGTTGCTTTTTGATGTGGGTTCAAGTTTTGGATACAGGGTTTACGGTTTTTTACGGTTTTGTGGCGGCTTTAACACCCCACACAATCATGGCGGCTGCACCATCCCTTGTCCACTTCCAGACGTCTGCAGGATGCCAGCACGCACTTGTGCCTGAGGCGAACGGCAGGGAACCCGTAAACCGTAAACCCCTAAACCCGGGGTGAACTTTTCACCCCGGGTTGTCCGAAATCATTGGTCGGAAACCCCAATGGAGCCTTACTCTAGCCTTAGCCAAGAAGTTCCGGGGTATCTAACTTCGATGGAATCAACGATTCCGGGGCGTGGCAGGCTTAGCAGCTTGAGAATTTGAGGGGTCACTGGTTGATTAGGGTTTAGGGCTTAGGGTTTAGATTCATGGGTTTGTTCCTTAGGGGGTTGGGTCCGGGATTGCGTGTCTCCAGGCTAATTGCATTAGGAGCTTGAGTTTCTTTGCATGCAAACACCACTGGCTCCTGCACAAGCACCTCGATGGCGACTCAATTCGGTCAGCTGTAACATGGGGGCCTTCATGATGAGAGTAGGACTCCAGGGTTCATTCTAGTCTGGGTTGTATTTTGGGGCCCTGAAAAGTATTTATGAATAGGTACCTGTATAGAAACCATAAAGGAAATTTTAAAGTTTCCCAAATTGCCACCTAGTAGTATACTTGCAAAAACTCCTTATGAATTCTCTGCGTCTCTAACCCCAAGGCCCCTCCGAGACCGGTACTCGGTCTGGGTGGTGATCATGTGCTTTTTGCCGGAGCCCTCGTAGAACTCCGCGACGCCCTTCACGGCCATGTTGTTGGACCTAAGTGGCTCCCACCAGCCCAAACTCGCTAGGGGGTTGGGTTCATTAGTGTTTTGGAAACCCTAAACCCTAAACCCTGAACCCTGAAACCCTAAACCCTAAACCCAAGACCCTAAACCCTAAAATCCTAAACCCTAAACCCTAAACCCAAGACCCATGCCCCTTAACTCAGCTACTTACAGCTTGAAAATCAAGGCGGTGCTACTGAGTTGAAGGACCTCGGGCTCTCCTTCGACCCCGGAACTCTAGAGTACTTGTTACGGGAAGGGTTTAGGGTTTAGGGTTTTCGCTGCGAGTGCGCTTTCGACCTCTCCATGAAGTGGTTGAGGTCGGCGCATGAGCTGCAAGGCCCGCCCGCCCACCCAAATAAACCTTGAACGGGTTTAGGGGTTGTCTACCCCCCCAACCCCCCCTATCAAGGGGGGCTTATATG